AGTTTCAGCCCGATCGGCCAGCGGGTTTTAAAGTTATAGCGAAAATACTTTTCATTTTTAATTTAATATGGGGATCTTTGCAATTTGCATCAAAGATATGCGTTATTCTTGCATTTACAAGCCGATTTTGCATAAATTTCGCTGAAAAGTGCCATTTTCTTGATGGAGCTTTTGGAAAACGATTGCGTATGAAGAATAAAAAGAGTCTTAAAACAACTGTTTTATCGATCCAAATCACGTCTTATTGTACCTTTTGGCAATTTGAGCTTCGTCGGCCCGAAAACAGAGTTCGGCGAGCTCGAAAACAGTGTTGAAGTTTAGATTTGGGCTCATATTGGCGCGTACGCTGAAGTTTAAGCCAAGCTCAAGCGTTCAACGATAGTTTCCGCCATGAGGTCTGGTATTCATCGTCCTTGCTGATCATTTTCTCGCTACATGAGCAATCGTTTTCCAAAAGCTGCATAAAAAAATGGCACTTTTCAGCGAAATTTATGCAAAATCGGCTCGTAAAGGCAAGAATAACGCATATCTTTGATGCAAATTTCAAAGATCCCCATATTAAATTAAAAATGAAAAGGATTTTCGCTATAACTTTAAAACCCGCTGGCCGATCGGGCTGCAACTTTCCTTGTTCATAGAAAATTGCCTTCGCTACCTCTGTGCAAATTTTCAGCTCCGTAGGTGCCCTCTGGCTCAAATTTTTGGGGGGGTCTTTTTTTTTGGGACACCCTGTATGAAAATACTTATACGAAAACACGTTTGTAGGATTTCTGGATTTAGCAAAAAATCCTCCCCCCCCCCCGATAATGCAAAAGAGCCGTGTTTATCCGTGTTTGTGCTTTCTGTGCGTTTTTTCTGCCAAAAATGGCTCGGAAGAAGGCACTCGAGCCATGGATGGGCCCGGGCATGTGTTTGTCCAGCGAAGAAGGGCCCAAACGGACTATCCCCCCTCCCTTTAGCCTCCCTTTAGCTTCTCGTTTTTCTCAGTGGAGATGTGGTGTTTGTGTGTTTGTGTGTGAGAAGGTGCGAGAGAGCGGGATGGGATTCTCTGTTTTCCTCTGACCCCTCCGCCCTACTCTTGAGGCAGAAAGTGAAGACAGTCAATAGGACAGTAAGGGACCGTCCGGGCGCTGGCACCTATTCGCGGCGCGTATGTCAACAATAGCCTTGCGTACGGGATTTTCTGGCTCGTGTGAACGTACAAACTCGCGGGGGATCTGGGGGATCAAGCGGTTCAAGGGGTTCAATGGCCTCAGATACCGGAAAAAGCTTCTTAGGCATTATCGGGGGGTGCGCTTAGAAATGAGCGTTAAAATAATGTTTTTAGCAATCATTAACGTGCGAAAACTATGAAACAAACTTGTAAAAACTTCAAACTCCGACAGTTTTGTCGAAATTCGTCGTTTTCGGAGGAAAAATCTATATTTTTTCCATTTTTAAGTCTTTGTTTACAAGTTTTCTAGGAAAATGTGGCGTTACCTATTTTAATAGAAACCACTATCTAAAAACACTTCAATCAGCATCGAAAAAATTCGAAATTTTGACCGAAGCGCATCATTTTTTCGGAATTTTCAAGTAAAATTTGTAGTTTTTAAGTTCAGCAATAGTAAAACAACGGCTTAAAAACGTTTGTTCTCTTTATATTAGGAAAGAACTATATTAAAAACTACTTAAAAACGTTAAAAGCCCAAAAACATATAAAATACGAAATTTTGTTCAAAGATCGGCAGTTTTGTAATTTGCAATCAAAATTTATATAGTTTGCGTTTAGGAATAGTCAGAAGAAATTGTAGAAACACGGCTATTTATATTAACGCAACTGACACAACACCCCCGATAATGCAAAAGAACCACCAACCCTTCCGCCCAACAACGGCATATCGGACATCAGCTTGGAGGCGTTCAGGAACTGTTGGGCCTGATGAAGGTACTGAAGCTGGGTGCTCGATCCGTGCGCAACAACGGCGATCAACCTTTTGGAAGCCAGCACGTAGACATCGGCTACGCAAGGGTCCTAAAGCGATTTGATGAAGCCTAAGCCAGAAATATACTTACGGGTAATGTGGGTGCTTTAATAATGTTTTTAATAAAATTCAGCTATATTTGAAGGGCATAAACAATTTTTTTAAAAACTAGAAAGATTTTAGCTGAATTTTGGGCAAAAATCGGCGGTTTTTTGGCCGAAAAATCGATATTTTTGCATTTTTGCTTATATAAGAAAGTGCGGTAATCGCCAAATTTCTTACCATATTCCCAGGCGAACAAGTCACATTAATCCGCTGCACATGCTTCACATCCGATTCGCCCCTCGTAGCACAGGCGAGAATCTACGAAGCGTTACTCCTTACACACTACCCCGACATACCTCTTTTTCTACCGTAGGCTTGGTGGCACCGACCAACGGATAGACAGTGTTTCTCACATAATCCTCATCATACAGCACCGTGCTGTTTTTTGGACAATTGAATGAAGATTTTAACGCCGGCGTGGGGCATGCAGAACCAATCGGCTGACAACCGGAAGCCGGACACCAGCTAAAGCACGATTTTTAGACGGGATTTGGTAGCCAAGGGAATATTACACTATTTTATCAAATAATTTTCGTATTTCAGATCCATATACCCGGTTCTTTTGCATTATCGGGGGTGGGGCACCAGGACAAAGCAACTTTTCCTTTAAACCTATTTTCTCTAGTAAAATAGAATTAGCGTTGCTCAAATTTTTTTGCTACCCCTAAATGTAAAAACTCTACAACTTGACAAAATCGAAATCGATTCCTCTATCAAAAATGACCGATTTTCGAGCAAAATTTAGCATTTTAAAACTTTGTAAGGATTTTTTAAAATAGTTTTCCACTAGAAGTATTATTTAATTCTACTAAAACACTATGCAAATACTAAGCATAATAACAAGTCCAAAAACTACTGTACACTGCTATACCGTACCCGCAGCCAGAAGACGTCAGACAAACATTACAAGTGTTCGCGACGCAATCCGCACGCACATGAGCAGCTACAGCAAAAGTCACAGCCAAATACACCAGGAATTTCCGGGCAACCATCTTCCAAAACCGGGAAATGCCCCCACCGATTTTGGCCAGCCCTACACTGTAAAGACCCGGTCAATGGCCAAGCCAAACAAAGCATCGGTGAGAGCCGATTACCTTGGCAAAGGGCCAGCTTTTGGCCCACCGATGAGTCAACTTTCTCACCCAGTTTGTTTTTTAGAGGCGTTGCGAAATGTGTTTTTGACGACGAATTGAGTGGTAAAATTTTTATTAGCGAAACAAATGGGCCAGGGACCCGATGGAAAGCATGATAGTTGATAGCCGAGCACCCGAATTGGCATCGTCTGCCAGCACCCGCTCAATCCATGGTATATAAGCAGAAACACGCGTGTACACACCTGAAAAGGTACGCCTGAATGTTGGTTCTTCGAAAGCCAAAAGTAAATTGGATTCTTTATAAAAAAATAGCGGAATATCAAGCAGTTACTAATGTTTTTTAGTAACTTTTAGCGATATCCTACTATACATAAAAAAATAGTGTCTGTATGTGCGTGTACATTTGCATGCAACTTCCGTGAGGATGTTCCGCACCTACAGCCTCAGGGAAGAATTTTTTCGATTGGGCAGAGACGTCATTAGGTAAAGAAGGGTCCGGAATCGAATGCACGCACATAAAATCTTTGAAAAATTGCTATTTTCGCTATTAAAAACAAGTTTTTGTAAAATTCTCGCCCACCCTCTTTGTTAGGGATCAATTAGCATAAGCCGGAAGTGGGATGGCCTATATAAAGCGACAGAGGAGCCGTTTTTGCACTTTTTTCCTAATAGATTTCAGGGAAGAAGCATGCAAATTGAAGCTTTTCATCGGTCCTAGACGGGGCCAGGGTTAAAGCCGCGAAGCGGTTTTTCAACCCTGGTTTAAAATAGAAAAACTATCTTAAAAAAATTTTAAGGATTCCGAAAATTCAAAAGTTGCTTGAAAATGGGTCATTTTTGGTTAAAAAACCCGATATTTGGTGTAAAATGGGTCCGAAATTACCTGGGAATGTCGCTTGATCTAGCACCCCTTCAAAACCATTAGCACCAAATGACGTGATTCCAATCTGAAAGCGCACAATTTTTCAGGTCTTTGATGGTACCATTCCTTGACGAACCGTGTGTCAACACCTACCTGCACCACATTCCCGAATCGGTCCCTAACCAACAGCGGTCCTCCCGAATCGCCCTGCAAGAAAACTGGTCAAAAATCTTTAAAAAGCCGAAAAACTCCCTGCAGATTAGCCAAAGGTTCACGCAACTTACCGGCGCCGAACCGTGGCCCAAGCTCCCCGCGCAAATTTGCGTCGAGCCGACGGTCGTCGTGCCTCCGGAAGCACGCCACCAATTAAGCCTGAAAATCGGAAACTAGAGGGACAATATTTGTCGCTCTTACGAGCAGGTCTTCGTGTCCTGCAACGGAACGACCGAGGTCTTCAACCGGTCTGCCGGCCCGTTCGTTATCCGCACACCGAGGGGTATTCTTTCTAAACATAACGATTTTTATGAAGGTTTCTATGTACATGCAACGTACCGACAGCCTTTCCAAAACCCGCCACCAGCGCTTTTGAGCCCTCGCCGAGCAATTTCGTATCATCACGCGTCAGGCAAACGGTCGTCACGCCATGGCCGATTTTTATGGGATGAGCTGTCTTGAAAACCGCATTTTTACGTTAAATTTTGCTTACCTTCAATAGCGCGATGTCGTCGCGTGTGCTCCGGATGTTAAACCCGCGATGGGAGACAGTTTTGACAATCCGCACGTTTTGCGATACCTCGTTCATCGTCCTCAACCCCAGCCTCACCGATGATCCGACCAGTCCCTTCCTACCAAAAATATTTTCCATTGAAATGGTGGCACTACGGCAAACAATGAGCAGCAGTCAGGATCCATCTATCATTCAGCACTGTCCCTCCACACATTTCCGTGTATCCGCCGCCATCAGAGGAGAACACCAGCGCGTAAAAGGAGAGCGAACTGAAACATCATTGGTGAAAAGGGGAGGATGACAAAAGCGCCAAAGCAAAAGCGCCAACGACAAAAGCGCCCATGCAGAAGCGCCAAACGAAAAGCGCCCAATGCCAGAAAGCGCCCAATGCCAAAAAGCGCTCAATGCCAGAAAGCGCCCAATGCCAGAAAGCGCTCTATGGGGAAAGCCAACGTATGGAGAGAGGAAACAATTACATAAGGTAGAGATAAAATAGTTGTTTTAATCGGTTTTCTGGTGTTATTATGGTAGTTTAGCGGCAGTTCGACCTACTAGGCCATAAATTACCGACTGGGTGAAGTTATTTTGGCCTCCTAGGGCATTCTTTCACTCGAATAGCTAGTTCTCTTCTAAAGCAGCTTTTCCACTATTTTTGACGTAGTTTCTTGATCTCTACATGCTCGAACCGGTCCGAATATACATTTCTAATGTGAGAAAGGTATAAAGTCGCCGTGGAAAGCTTGTTTAGTGCCATTTTCGGATCCATTACCCGGAAATACGGCGTTTTCTCGTCGTTCTGGCCTCCAAACACTGTTTTATAACAAGTATTTCGTGCTTGCAACAGTATTGTGACTGAAAACATCAGAAA